AAGGGACAAAGATAATGTTAATGTTGGATAGTTCATTGACTGAGTGTTTTTCAAGCCTGACAAACACTGATATGGGATGACAAAAATATGGCTAGGGGGACTTTACAGAGTGCAATGAGTTCCAGAGGACTGATGAATAAGTAATCCCAGAGCCAGATCCCAGGCTGCTCTAAGCACTAGACATATTTTTATTTTTCTCTTGTGGTTCTCAAACTTTTGTCTGAGTCTGAGAAAAAATAATTTCTTGAAAATAAAAGTCATATTCATTCAGCTTAGCTTCATCTCATGGACCCGTGTCCATGTTCCACCTGTAAGTTTCTCCACACACCAAAATTAGAGATCCACTGGCTTAAAGGAAGGAGGCAAAAGCCTTGTTTTAACTTACATCGTGCTCTAAAATAAGATCTGTTAATCAAGCAGAGTTACTTTAGCGGAGCAGTCAGAAATAAGCATAATAGGACACCCTTAAAGACATACAATGCTAAATTGGGTTCATTCTAAGGTGTAATATCAGAGCCACTTATTTCTTATCTGAACTGAATTGAACTGAATCTAATTTTTGCATCTAAAGCTGCAGTATATTGATTTCTTTTATATTTAAGGTAATAAGGATCTAGACAGCAGAGCTTTGCAGAGTGCAACTTTAGCCCTTTTACCAGGAAGGACTGAGTTGCAAAACATCGAGACTGAAACATGCTGACAGAGGATGTCCAAAGAACCATGACAAGCATCTATAGGTTTCTTGGATTTGCCAAAGATACATATATTTCTAATAATTATTGATCATTGTGGCTACTGTTCTCACCATTTTTAAGAAAGATAGACCTCATTATATATTTTTTAAATTAATGAACGGTTCCTTGGGTAGCAGCTGATGTATGTCTGACTTAGATTCAAACGCTGACACTACTTTTCCAAAGTTGTTAACAAGCCTTTGGAAGCTTGACAACAACGTTGTACCAGGGGCTGAAGGAACATCTGGAGTAGAAGGAAGGTAAAGTACAAAGTGGTCCCAGCGGTAATCGGAGCATTAGGAGTTGTAACCCCAAAACTGGGAGGGCAGCTCCAGCAGATTTCAGGCACCATATCAGAGGTATTCAGAAGAGTGCAGTCTTACATATACCTCAGATGCTGTGCAGAATTTTCAAACTCCCAGAGGATCCTACAGTACCTTAGCCCAGTTCTTCTCAACCACCAATGGTGGTGTCTCCTAACGGTACATATGCAGCACAGATGTTCTATCCCAGTCACTCGTTTGTGCCTGTCTGTGTACACCAGAGGTGGACAACTTCAGGCCTCAAGGGTCAGTGTCCTGAAGGTTATAGATCTCACCCTGCATCAACACACCTGAATCAAATGATTAGTTCATTACCAGGCCTCTGGAGAACTTCAAGACATGTTGAGGAGGTCATTTAGCCATTTAAATCAGCTGTGTTGGATCAAGGACACATCTAAAATCTGCAGGACACCGGCCCTTGAGACCTGGAGTTGCCCATCCCTGGTGTACGCAGTCCAATAGTCTAGAGGGCACCTTTGGACCTCCTGCAACTTTGGTCCTGTCAGCCACCTCTGGTCTCTTCCATCATTATGTCCATACTGCTCACCATTGTTCCCAGTGTGCTGTAACCTCTGGATCTCCAGCTTCAACAGTAACCATCTTCTGCTGATGTTATTGCACTGAGCTGCCAGGTCCTTCTAGCTCATTGTGGATGTTGGTTTTCTACTGATCCCACATGTGCTGCACGTAACCTTTTTTTGTGTGTCAGCTGGCATAGTAGCATTCCACCAATTCCATATTTTCAGTCCTTCTCCATGTTTGCATTGTTCCAATAGGCAATGATATTTAAAGGTGGGCTTGAGGCGCTGGACTAAAGCTTTCCTGTATGAGTAACATTTGTGTTTAGGTTAGGAGATTGTGCCACCCTGTGGACAACCAGCAGTCATGCAGCTCAAAGAACCAGCTGCTGCAAGTTATTTTACTCATTCAGCTTAACAACCATATCTTAACAATGCATCTGCATGATAACAGTTGGTTTATTGATATAGCAATGTTTACTTTTATGAGTTGTTTTAAGATTTTATGATAAATTAATGTGAAAGCAGTGCTCTACAATTTGACTTAACATAAACAAGTTTCATTGTTGAGGCGGAGGTCAAGTTAAGGCAATCATTTATGCCCTTTTAAAAATCCAGCAGAATTTTTTTCCTGATTATTTTTTTGATTACTGAGATTTCATTACTCTGTTCATCAAATCATGAGTCAGTCACTCACTTTCTGCTTCAAGGTTCCTACAGATGCCGCCCTCGTCCTGATCAGTGCACAGCTATGAGCCTGTCCTTCTCCCACAGGGATCTTTGTTCTTGAAGGTTTCTTTGGTGTTGGGTGTCGTAGAATTTTGTAACTAAAGTCTGCAACATGGAAAGAGCTGTGATCAAGCTATTTATTACTGTGCGCAGGAGAGCCAACACACATCAAAATTCACAGTTCACAGTCATGCCAGCTCTGCCCTTGGGATGTCTCAGCTCCTCTTTTATACCCTCTGCACACAACTCTGTTTGTCTTTTAGTTACAACAGGTTTCTGTCCCACGGGCTGTGGCTGGACAGAGGACAACTCCCACTATCTTTTCATGGGAAGCTCCTGGCACTGGAGTTTCATCCTTCTGAGCAAAACAGTTAGCAGATAACATAGTGAAACATCGTTAAGCAAAGCTAAGCAGTTTTCACAAGGTCACGCTGACATATACACATACTTCATCTGAGCATGCAAAGGTTATACAAAATCATACAGTGAAGTTCTAACCACCTAACTCTACACGTGAGGATAAACTAGAATTTTTCCATAAAATTGGGCCAGCTCTGCCTGGAGTTTGGTAGTTTCCTCTTAGTGCTAAGAAGTTCTCGGTATTATTTTTCTTTTCTCTTTAAATGCTGAGACCTGTTTTTAGTTCATCCAAATTTTGGGAAACATTTGTGTGCAACTTCCCCTTTCTTATAAATTTCTACTTGAAGAAATACCCTTGCTTTTTCTGCCTCATCTCTTTGAGTATTACGCAGTCCTTTTCCACTGCTCTATCTCCAAGATTAAGGCAGCATGCTTTTCCTCTAGGGCTGTTATCTGTTCTGCCTCATTGCCCAATGTCTGACTGAATTCAAAGTTCTCAGAAACATCCTGTAAAATTCACTGCTCGTGTTTAGTCTGTATAGCACCCTGTGGTTCTTTCACTGTGGTGTCACTCAGCTCAGGGTGAAGAGTTGGACCAGTTTGGAGAATGTGTGGTGTTTCTGCAGGCAGTGGGCTTCAGTGTTGGTGCCACAGGCTGTGTAGATATTTCCAGCAGTTAGTTTAAGAACTGCTGCAGACTCTTGGAGGATCACTGTATACTGTGGTCATGGAGCTGCAGCAGACTTCAGTTTTGATGCTCTTGCAGGCTGTTCCATAATTTCAGTTCTTGATTTTCAGCAGATATTAGAGCTGTGACCTAAACTGAAATGTTTTGAGCTCCTCACTTTCAGCAGGGATCAGGTGTTTCAAACGTCTTTCGGGATTTGTAAAGCAAACCTTTCTTGTTCTAGTGCAGTTACCTCCACATAATTTGGATCTGAATGAAAGCACTCTTCAGATTCAGAGGCTGCACTTTTCACACCAACTCAGGAGACAGCTGATTTTACAGGGTTTTACTTTCAACTTGTTTGGACTGCACCAGTAACTTCATCACTTATAGCGAAATCTGAATTTTTTTAGGCATTAAAAACAAGCAAACCATGGACTGAATTGTTTCTGCCTCTGTGTGTAATTTCTTTTTTTCATCTATTGTTTTATAGAAAAAGATTTTGATTTCCGAGGTAACAGCTGTTCTCCAGTAGAAACTATTAAACAGCAGTTACAGGCCGACTGGAACAAATCAATGTTTTTAAAATTAATTCACACTGTTTTTCTAGGATGCCCTCTGGACCCAGTGGAGGTGGTGAGTGACAGGAGAACGGCGGCTAAGCTGTCATCCCTGATGGACAACATCTCCCACCCCATGCAGCAGACTGTGACAGCACTGAGCAGCTCCTTCAGTGGGAGAATGCGGCACCCACGGTGTGAGACAGAGAGATTTCGCAGGTCTTTCCTCCCCACTGCTGTCAGACTCCATAATAAAGACTTTAACTGATCAAGCACACACATCCATACATATGCAATAACACTAAGTGCAATAATCCTTTCTGTCATCGTTGTATTTTTACTCAGTTGTATATAGTATTTGTATTTGTATTCTATTTTTATCTTATTGTATATTTATTTTATTTTATTCTACTGTATATAGTATTTTATTTATTCTATCCTGTACAGTTGTGTACTGTATTTATTCTTATTGTATTCTAATTTTTGCCTCATAACTTTTGCACTGTCCACTCCTGCTGTGACAAAACAAATTTCCCACGTGTGGGACTAATAAAGGTTATCTTATCTTATCTTATCTTTTAATGCTGCCACAATATGACCCACGTGTAACTTTTGGTGCCTAGGTGGCACAGAACAAGTGAGTGACCATAACATTAGATCTTAAGTCAACATATCAACAGCATCTGCAAGTACAAGAGTAAGTGAGCAATATTACTGACCATATAAAACTGGCATAATTTTAAAATTTGTAATAAGTTCTGAAGTCTGTTCTTCTATAAAGTCTACAATTGCATTTTATTACATTACAACACCCATGACCAAAATATTGTTGTTAGTCTTTGTTTGCTTTTCCTGTTTATTTTTTTCCTCTTTTCCTTTACTTGTCCACTAAATTATCTATTCTCTTTTTCTGTGCCTCCTTAATCTTAATATCCTAAAGTCACGACCTTTATATCTCCACTGTATCTACACAATATGTGTTTATCTATATAAATATTCGCACATATTTTTTATTTATCTTTATATGCCTAGATTATTCTACGTAGTGAGTATTTGGGAAGAAAGCCTACGATTAGAGCCTTTCAGCAGTTCCTCCTGCTATGACAGGGGGCGCCAGTGAGTCGATGAGTTGAGTGTTGAGTGGGCCGCAGAAGAAGACGCGCTGCCGCTGGAGTTTACTAGTTGAATGACAGCGGCGGCGTGAACTTTGCGGAGATTACGCTTTGGGAGCGGCTCGCTTTATTTCAGTGCAGCGTTTTTTACTTTTGATTTCTTCCCTTCGCTTTTGGAAAAATGAGGGACCGGACCAAAGAATTAGGAAATGTGAGTTTCAAAGTAAAGTGCTAACATTAGCTCTAGCTCCGCTAGCGTGGCTAAGTTAGCCCAGTTCACTACTTTACCCGAGTTAACCTAAGAGTCTCCAGGGACAACTTAGACGAGCAGAGGGAATCAAAAAGTGGTTAAGTGGGATTTTTTTGCAGATATTTCTCTTTATAAAAGTTGACTTTATTGATGTTTTACTTCCAACTTCCGTTTCAGTCCTTTCTCCTTAAAGGATAGGGCAGGCCGGGACAGGGCAGGGCTCATGATTCACATCCTCGGACAGCGAGAAAGCACTCACTGTTTTTCTTCTGTTTATGTTATTTAAAATCAATGTGACTTCAGACCGCAGAGGCTTCGGATGACGACGAGGAGGGCAAAGCGCTGATCAGATCTGGAGGCTCAGAGAAGGAAAATGAAACCTTTTTCAGAAAGGTGAGGCAGAAACATCAAGCACTTCTCTCTGGAAAATCCCCCAAAATCAAATGATCTGCACTGTCCTCCTGTTACTCATTCACTTTGGTAGTTTGCACACACTTCTGAATTTTACATTTGTGCAAAAGAGAGACAAAAATGCACTACAGAGGCTTAAATATCACAGACTGCTGCTGATGCGTTCTTAACCTGTTTTGTCAACAAATCGTAGTCTGCTAAATCCCAGTCTCCTTGTACCCGAACTGTCACGAGTAAGGAACCAGAGTTATTCACCTAATATCACAAAATGTGACTATTCTCTGCGCTGATCTTAGGCCTCTATCGTAATGTGTTTGAATATCTTTTGGTTTTGATTTAAAATGGTTTGAAGAAACTTATCAATTTATGCATATCCACATTTTTGTCCTTGGAGTCTTATTCTTGGTATGGAAAACTCCCTCTAGAAAGTATTTTAAAGGTCCAAAAAGAGTGACTAATATTTCAGGAATGCCTTAGATATTCTCATATTTCAAGATTCAAGACGTTTACAAGCAAAACACAGTTTACAGGTTAATATAAATGCACAAAATTGCAAATGTACAATTATGAATAATTAAAGTTCGACAGTTCATCAGTGATTCAGCCTGATGGCCCGTGGATAGAAATTGGTTTGTTCTTTGTTTTTATTGGTCCAAAGCAAAAACATGGAAAATATGAGGCCTGATCCACTTGACCTTCTTGCCACTATAAATTTTTAGAAAGACGTTTATGTTTGTGACACCATTCACAAACAGGAGGAGAGAAGCTGGAGGATAAGGACCAAGGTTATCTGGGGAGAGGACACAAGGACGTAAGGGCAGGGAGCCATAGAGGCTGGACATCCAGTGTCAGGTTAAATAGATGAGGAGTCAGAGCAGTTTAAACTGTACTGCATAAATAAGTGGGTTAACGGTGCTGTATGCAAGTGTTTTATTTTTTAAAAAATCAGTAGTTGTTCAACCAGCGTGAATAGTCTAGTTATAAGGCAGATTAATTGGTTAGTGAGCCATACTGAGCCTGAAGTCAGTTTCAACTGTCATGAAGGTGGCTTTTTACTTGGCTGGATCACTATGGTAACTTAGACTGAACACATGACCTGGTCTGCAGAAGGTTATGTTCAGTGTTTTGGTTAAAAATCATCTGGAAATGTGCTTTCACTGATTGAGAATATGTTGTAAGTATGCTTATATTTTTCATGCTGAGGAAAGCTGAGCAGCAGTGTAAACAGGGTTTAATCATGGAAGCTCGCTCACTAAAGAACTTTTTTCTTTTTCCATCCATAAGTCAAAATTTGTAGCCGGCATCTTAAAATTTTGACTTTAATTTGGCCACAGACTGAAGTGGTTTCCACACCTTTGTCATCGAGCCATGGTCCATTGTTAGTCCTGAATTCACTGAATATTATGATGAATCAAGTTAAACATTTCACAGCTTTAACTTGCAGCTGTCTCATCAAAAACCTTTGTTGCTTCGGCAGGAAATAAGAGGGCAAGTAGCAGCCAGGTGTTCCTAATCAAATGCATAGGAAAGCTGCGTCATAACTGACAAAACTGGAACCTCCTCTTAACCCTACGCCATAACCTTCCACATGTTGTGTGCTGCATCGACCCAGCATGTAGTTATATTTCTTAGGAGGTGCACGTCAGGTTACGGCGTAGGGTTAAGAGGGGATGTGGTTACGCTGCGGACTTACTACTTCTTACAGAACTGCAGAGAGTCCCGTGGAAACTTTCTTTTTTCATGTGATGGTATATTAATTTATGAATTCACAAAACAAACACTTTTCTGCAGCACTGCTTCTCTGAATTATTTGCTGCAGTAGTGCCTTGTTTTTGTAAGTGCAGTCAGAGCCTGGAGCAGAAAGCCTGTGTGATACCCGTTATTGTCTCTGATGGGGGACTTTAGGTGTTGTTGAGCCAGCTAACACAAAGAAAGCTTACATATGTTGGCATTGCTTCATAGATATCAGAGGGAGCTGCACCCATTTTAGCTATAAGGACTGATAGAGGGAATAGGATGAGATTTGCTTGATATATGAGATAAATTGAGCTAACAAAATAGTTCTTTTGTTCCCTAAAATTCTTTCCTTGTTATCGTCAGACCCAAGAAATTCACCAGGGGCTCCAGCAGCTCAAAAGGATGGTGTCTGACCTCGAGAACAAACAGAAAACTGTGCTGGGCGAGGCGCTACCGAAGGAAGGTGCGTAATATATCGTCATATATAAGGTGTAGTGGTTCACCGAAAGTTGCAGACAGAAGCATGTTAGTAAACTGTCAGAGGAGAGGGGGCGATCAGGTTGTCCTATTCAAGGGTTTTGTTTGCTAAATTTACTGTTTTTGATCTTTTGCACAGATATGAAGAAAGAGCTCCAAACTCTTCGAGACGAGATCAAAACGCTGGCTGGTCAAATCCAGAGAAAGCTGAAGAGTGAGTATCTTTGAGCTGCAGGGGGGAAAAGATTTATTATTTTGTTCAGCATGGCTTGACTTATGGCCATCTTTCCACAGGTATTGAGCCCAAGAAGGGAGAGGATGATGGGAAATACATACCCATAAATACTCGAATGCAGCGCACACAGGTAGCACCCGAGACTTTTTGTAATCAGCTAAAAACATAACGCCCCTCTCTTTCTATTTTCTCTGTAAACAGCATGCCATCGAGGTCATGTGACTGGCGTATGATCAGTTTTAATGCTCTTTATAGCCTTAAAGTGGAAATGAATGCTGTGCTGATAGTTTAGACTGCGGTTATTGATAACCATTTTAAAAGCAGCTAAATCGTAGGTGTTATCTGTAACGGCCACTCATTGTGAAAATGACAGCTGGTTTTGGGGAAATTTTGAGGGAAATTACGACTACATTTGTGTTTTCACTCTGCTTCCTTTTTCGTTCGCTCTCCTTTTGCCAGCACACTATCTTGTCCAAGGAGTTTGTGGAGCTCATGGGCCACTGTAACACCATCCAGGCTCAGTACAGGGACAGAAACGTGGAAAGAATACAGAGGCAGCTGAAAATCAGTGAGTAGCACGCAGCACCGAGGAGATATATCTGTCACCTTGTCAGATTTTTGTGGTCTGTGGTCTCACTTGGGGAAATCAGTTTTACCGATCACTTCCACACTACGGCAGGAGGTTTAAAGTCGGGTGACAACGCCATGCCGTTTTCTTCTTTCTGTCACTTTCTGTTTTAAAATGACACAACATATGTTTAAAGGGGATGAGATGGATATTTCACACTAATGTACAGTGTGCCTCTACTAGGGTAGCTTTGCATGATTCACATTTCAAAATAATCCTTTATTTTATTTTTTAATCTTGTACTGTATCAAAAGCAGTTTTAGCTCCTCCCCCTTTTTAAGCCAACTTTCTCCTAATTGGCTGCCCCTCAAACACAGAAAGGTTGGGTGGCCAGTGGGTGGGGTTTGTGACCATATTAGAAATATCCCCTCTCTGTAACGTCATACTGAGCCAAGACTAGAAGAACACAGTCTGAAGCCTGAGCTTTTGGCTCACAGGGAGTACGTGTACATAAACTGATCACATTATTTTAAAATTTGATCATCGACCTTTAAAACTGGACATGAATTAAAGGAAAAGCACAAGTTCACTTTAAAAGAATTCCGACACCATGCTGGTGCTTGAAGCGGATTTCACCAAAGATGAGTCAAAGGTGCTCGGCTAGCAGCTCTGCACAGCTTCATGTGTGGTCACGAATGACTAGAAAGCACTGCTGTAATTTCCTGTCATATCCTGCAGTGGTGGGCGTTCCTGTTAAATGAAACCATACAGTCAAATAATGAAGTCTGTTTAGGTACAAACTAAAAAGCTCAGGCCTTGAACTGCTCTAAAATGTTGATGTATGGATTAGAGATGGACCGATCCGA